AACCCCACCACAATTCTATAGCCTCTACAGTCTCTACATTATATGTATGTATTTCTGTATGGAGAAACCTTTGTATATACAAAGTTTTATATATGTTTTTTATATGGGCGCTTCCTGGTCCAAAGGAAATGAGCAGCCAGTCAGAGGATGGTCTGAGATCATGTGAGTACGACTGTTTCAAAAAACTGGCAACCATCCAATCACAGAAAAGTATGAAAACATGTCAGGTATGACATAAAAACCATGGGTCTCCAGGTATATCATAGGCAGCAGTGTCCTGCTCCGACACCTTTCTGATGTAGACAGGAAGAGGTAGCTGGTCCTGTCAGCCAGCCACAGGGCAGTCTGTGAACAAATAGTGTACGATGTCCCATGTTTTACAAAATGGCAATCCCCAGGGGCAGAAAGAGGTGAAGGGAACACATGAGGTGATTGGAAGATGTACAGGACTTTGGGGCAAGTGGGATGCATGGTGGGCAGTAGGGGCAGGGCTTCCCCCAACATTAGAGTGGTGGCAGCTGTCCTTGTTCATGCTGGGTCGGGGTTGTCCTCACGCTGCTTTTGCCCTCTGCCAAACTCCCTCCAATCTGTCACCTCTGTGCCGTATCCTGGTGCCCCATCCGTGTGCACCACCCTAGGTGTAGTCTGGCAAAAGGGAACCATCACTACTCTTCACATTCTGGCAGGGCTGCAGAGGATGCAGCCCAAGATAGACAGTGTTCATCCATTGTGGGTTTGGGCCTGCCCCATACCATATGCAGGGCTTGACATTTGTCCATGTTGCATTTTATGAGATTCCTGTAGGGATCTTGTTCCTTAGCCTGTACAGGCACCTCTAACCAGTGGCTCTGCCTTCACACTTATTGACTGAACCCCTGGTTTGGTGTCATATGTAGACTTGATGAGGTGCATTTCATCTCCTCTTCTAAAACACTGATAAAAATGTTGACCAGGGCAAGTCCCTGATTAGACTCTTACGGAATTCATCTTGTCATTGTTCTGTAGGTTGGACATGGATTTTTACCCTTCCTGAGAAGCTCTTTTTTTTGTGTGTAAAAGTCACCAAAAGCACATTAAGTGTAGTTAGTGTGTTTATATCTGCTTGATGATTTCTCACTAGTTTAATAGTAGAGCCACCAGGGCTGCTGTTAGTCTATCACTTGCTTCGAAGTTCTTGAACTAGCCTTGTCAGTAGTGTTTATCTTCTTCAGAAGGGTTTCTCATTGGGAAAATTTCTCATCACATGCAGTACTGTTAAGGTTTTAATTGCTGGTTTAGGAGTTTAGATACAGCCTTTTGGCATGGAATCAGAGGAAATGACAGCTGGAATAGTTGGTACACAAAAGGGAATGTTTCTGGCTGTTAGTGAAAGAATTCAGTTTTCTATCTTGTTTTCTGCATGACCTTAAAAGATGGTGAAAACTCCAGTACAAACATATCAGAAGTCTGTCTTTCTGGTCAGTCCATCAGAGTTCTTCGTACATAATTTATTTTCACCAGTTGTTTAAATTTTTAACATGTTACCAATGGTGGCAAGATGTCCGAGACATTGAACACATCAAAGTAATGGGTATTCTGCCAGCATTTAAGCATTTAATTGACTAGGATTCAGTTGCACTTTTTTTTTCCAATTGTCCTGACTTTTCAATTTTGCTTTTTTAAACTATTTTTGGGGGCAGGAGTATATATATTTTGAGACTTATAAATTTTTTTCTTGATCTGAATGATGATACTAGAAATACTAGAAATACTGTGGTGGTGGCTGTTTTTTTCTGTATTTATGTGTGTTTTGAATTTATGGAATGCATTTAATAGAACATTTTTCATTTAAGTTACTGTTCCTTACGCAAGTCATTTGTCTAATTCTACTTTAATTAATATATTATCAATTGTGATACCTTGCTACTGCAGCACAAAAGTTACATAGCAATCAGTGGAACATGAAACATTCACTATGACAAGCTTCTATGGGAAATTATACTTGATAATGTGAGTTTTAGCTATTGATTTCACTATGTTCAGACTTTCTGTCATTTTGTGCTGGGTTTATGTGGTGGGGTTTTGGGAGCAGGGGAGGGGCTACAGGGGTGGCCTCTGTGAGAAGCTTCCCTGGCTTCAAGTTGGATCTGACTCTGGCCAGGACCGAGCCAATCATTGCCTCTGCGAATAATATATTTAAGAAGGGACAAAGAAACTTGCACCACGCGGGACCTGCAGTGAAGAGAGAGGGTGAAGGCATGGGTGGCTGTCAGCGCTGGTCCACCCCCTGACTCCACCTGGCTGGGGGGATGGTGGCCGTGGCTTGGAGTGCTCTGAAGTGCCCTGCTTCCGGACCGCTTGTTGGGTGAAACTCATCCTGCTGAGGTCGCCAGAGTTCATCGGGCTGATTGGGCCTGGTGTGGCTGCAGGGGAGAGAGGACTGACATGTGAGAGAAACGGCTCTGCAGACACCAAGGTCAGTGAAGAAGAAGGGGAGGAGGTGCACCAGAGATGAGATTCACCTGCAGCTCATGGTGAGACAGTAGGCTGCCGCCCTGTAGCCCATGGAGATGCATGGTGGAGCAGACATCCACCTGCAGCCGTGGAGGACCCCACATTGGAACAGATGTTTGTGCCCAAAGAAGGCCGTGGCTCCATGGGAAGCCTGCCCTGCAGCAGTCTGTTGGTGAAGGACTGTGTCTTGTGGGAAGGACCCATGCTGCAGCAGTTTGTGAAGAGCTGCAGTCTGTGGGAAAGGACTCATGTTGGAGAAGTTCATGGAGAACTGTCTCCCATGGGAAGAGACCCCACGCTGAAGCAGGGGAAGAGTGTGAGGAGTCCTGCCCCTGAGGAGGAAGGAGCGGCAGAAAGTGTGTGACGAACTGACTGCAGCCTCTATTCTGCATCCCTCTCTGCCACTGGAGGGGTGGAGGTAGAGAAACTGAGAGCACAATTGAGCTTGGGAAGAAGGGAGAGTTGGGGGAAGATATTGTTTAAGATCTGGCTTTTTTTCTCATTATCCTTCTCTGGTTTAATTGGTAACAAATTAAATTGTTTTTTTTTTCCCGAGTCGAGTCTGTTTTGCCCATGATCATAATTGGTGAGTGATCCTTCCCTGTCTTCTTCTCAACCCTGGAACCTTTTGTTATATTTTCTCCTCTCCATCCCACCAGGGCACGGAGGAGTGAGTGAGCAGACACGTAGTGCTAAGTTGCTGGCTGGGGATAAACCATGACGCATTTTTATTCCATGTTTCTTAAAAGTTACTGAATGCAAAATGATGATATTCACTTGACTGGGATGAATTAACTGATTAAACACAAAGTACTTGTGATGAGAAAAGTTACGTGAAAGAGCTAAAACTGAATCTAGATTTATAGTTCAACTTGATGAGTCACTAAGCACTGTTTTCTTTTTACAGATTTCTCTTGGTGCTGATTTGTTTAATATTCAGTGTACTATCTACTATAGAGCATTATTCTGAGTTTGCCACAGGAACCCTTTTCTGGATGGTAAGTGAACTTTTTTGGGACAGACTTTAATCAGTTTGACTAAATCTAAATTGCTTTAGGTGAACAAGGGAGATAACTTAAAAATCCTCATGCAGGGCGTGCTACCAGGACATTTAAAATAGTATCTGCTTTCATTAAAGGAAGGTCATAGTTTAATGAAGATGATTATTTTCTAGATCTGTAAACTATGAGGGTACTTGGTAGATTAACAGTTTTTATATACTTGCTTTTCATAAGGCATGAATCTGTGCGTTGTAGCTCTTATAGTGGACAGCTGGTGTTCATCAGTCTTATGGAGTGTCGAACAGGATATTCTATAGGCAGGAATGTATTTTTAAAACATACCTCTTCGAAGTCTTATAGTAAAAAAATTAGCCAAGAACCATGCTCCTCAGAAGTATCTGAATCTTGGGGATAAGTGATTTCTGTCAGACTAGTTTGCCAGTGTATAGAAAGGAAGGAAGAGGTTCTATCACACTTGTGTGCATCAGTGATTTGGCTTTGAAGTTGGTGCTTGTTGACTGTTGTGGCTGCTAGCAGTCCACTAGAGTGTCAGGTTCTTGAGCATACGTTAAGTTTTGTGCTTGGTATTTTGCAAAAACGTAAAGACATTGTGTTTCTTATCTAATATCCTTTTCTTGCTATTAGTGTCATAAGTAGTAATTTAAACAACAGATGTGGTAGAAAAATCTGCCCACTCGGAGGTATACAGAGGTTGCTTATTATTGTTCCCTGGCTACTGCGAAAACTTTATCACTGGACTGACTGGCTAATTTACAGATGAAGTGTACCTGAACTGTGTTACCAGTCCTGAGCTATTAAGTCTCTTAAAAATGTGAAACTACATCCAGCAACCATCTATAAACTGTTACAACATACATATAATACTTTTAAGTGGTAATTTGAAGTGAGTGGAAAATAAAAATACAAATAATTTGCATGAGGACTCTAGACAATGTTTGTTCTCTGTTCCCCTCTGCCCCTCAGAGAGTTAAGAATGGAGATGAAACATGTTGATAAAAATTGAGTAAATCACTTTTAAACAGTTCCTCACAATATCTGTATTTTAGCCACTCAAATCCTCTGATCTCAATGTGTGATAATCTCAGTATTTTTATTGTAATTTATATTTGCTAAATGGTGACTTCTAATGTGACGGATTTTGGCTTTCCCTCTGGTTTGAAAATAAAAATCAGTTACTTATTTGTTTTCCTGTGGCTTATACTACGTTAGTATATGCAGTTTTTGCGTGCAATTGACTAAGCCGTCATTGGGATCCCTGACTTATTTCGGGATTTTGATTGATGTTGATCCTGTAACAAATGTTGCTTGGCCTGTAAGCCATATTTAGTGTCAAACGAAGGGCACTATTCTGGCAATCATATGCAGTCTTCTCATACTCACTGAAAGACATAGAGTGATTATAGGTCAATATAACCACCACCCAAAGCAGTAACACTGGCAAGGATTCAGTGCTTAGCTGATTGTTTTTGTGTATGTGCATGTGCAGATGCATATTGTTGGACAAAAATAACTAGATGAAGACAGATGCGTGGTTCACATAGTGCCCACATAGCATTGCTAGCTATTTTTAAGTGATGTTATCATCTAATGAATGAATCATATGTAGTCGGTGGCAGCGCTGGAACAATTTCTTGGCCACCCTGTGTTACAACCTTACCCTGGAGGATACCTGTCTTGAGTTTATTTTCCTCCCTGCTGTTTCCTTAGCTTCCTTCCTAGAAACAACCAGTGCAGAGATTAGCTATTCTGCTGACTACTGTAGTTCGCTTGCCTGGAAAGCATTTGTCTTAAAACTGGGCATCTTAGAGTTTGCTCGGAAATAAATTCACTTCATTTAGCGATTGCTTTTAGAGCTAATTAAATTCCTTCTTTTTCTTAGAATTGTAAGGTTTCTTGTTTCTAGTAGCTAAATGGTTAAGATTCCTGCTTGCAGCACTTCTCCCCACCTTTAGCTGAAGGAATTTCAAAGCGCATCTCCTGTTTTACCCAGGAGAGTGCTAACCCCCACAGAAGCCCGAAGATCATTGCTCTCTTTACTCCATAGTAGGTCATTACTCTGGTCTCCTTCATACCATAGTTGACTGTTCATGTAACCAGAGAGAATGGCATTGGCACAATGAATCATGCTGATAAACACCAACAGAATAGATAGTAAAGAACATAATTCCTCCTGCATTTTTTATGCCTGCAGAGAGCAGCTTAGAATTTCAAGTAGTGTTTAAAATGGACCACGAGACTTCTAGGTAGAGCAACAATATAAATGTTATTTCCCAATCCACAAAGCTTAAACGCACTTGCAGTTGCTTTTTATTCAGATTGCTACATGTAGTATGGTATGAAAAGGAATCTCTAGTTTCCCCTTCTTTGCTTAGTCTTGGATCTGTACTGCTGGGAGCTTTTTTACTAGTCTGTCCATCAGTATTTAGGATCTGCTGCATGAGAAAGTTCATGTACAATGCCTGGGGAAACAAGCACAATGGAACGGATCACAGTTGTGAATAAAGTGTTTGCAACACTTAAGGCAATACTACATTACCATCTGCCTTGTAAACTTGCACTTGCCTGCCCCTCTCCTGCAGGCGTTGACATTTTCCAGGCAGGCAGGGAAAATAGGGTTTTCCAAAATAATTGAGGCCACCCTAGTTACAGATTGCATAATGGGAGGGAATAGCATCTCCACTCATCATAGTATGCAAATGCTGGTTCTCACAGAACTCTGGAAATGTGCCTCAGTGGTTTCTTCTTTTCATACAGCCATAGAATAATTGGGATTGGAAGAGATGTCAGGAGGTCTCTAGTCCAACCTTCTCCTCCAGGTAGGGTCAGTGATGAGGTCAGACCAGGTTGCTCAGGGCACTATCCCATCAGATTTTGAAAAACTCCCAGGATGGAGACTGTGTAGCCTTTCAGGGCAGCCCCTTCCAATGCCTGACCATCCCTCATGGTGAAGAATGTTTTCTTTATATCCAGTATGAACCTCCGTTGTTTCAATTTTGGTTTGTTGTCTTTCATCTTTCCTCCATGGTCTGTTTTCTTTCATCTTCTTGCCATGCACTACTATTAAGAACCTGGCTCCATCTTCCCAATAACATCTTTGTATGTATTGAGAGGCAGCTCAGAGGTCCCCCATGTGTTCATTTCTCCAGGCTGAACAAGTCCAGTTCCCTCAGCTCCCCCTCATAGGGCATGTGGTCCAACACCTTGACCACCTTGATGGCCCTATGCGGAACTTTATCCAGTTTATCAAAATCTTTCTTGTAGTGGAGGAGAAAATCAGGTGCAGTATTCTAGGTGCAATCTAATGAGTGTTAAGTAAAAGGGGATAACCACTTCCCTTGTTCTGCTGATTTTGTCATTTCCTTGCATTTGGAGGAGGTTGTTTTTAAAGACCTGCTAGCAGTCCTGAGCTGGTTGACCTTTCAGAGCTGTCTCCCATGGGATCCCACCTATCAGCTCCCTAAATAATTGGAAGTTTGCTCTCTTGAAGTGTGAGGTCTGTACTCCTTTCAGGATCTTGAATTACACTATTTCTTGGATGCTACATCCAAGGCATTATTATTTATTATTATGTCCCCAACATTTCCTGTATGTCTGAACAGCAGATCCAGCTGTGTTTCATTCCCAGTTGCCCACTCAATACCTGTATCTAAAAGTTACTACTCGAACACTCCAGAAATCTCTCAGACTGCTTGCATCTCACTGTGTTGCTCTTTGAATTGGTGCTAGCTGAATTAAAGTCCTTTGTGAGAACCAGGGCATGATCTAGAAACTTTCTTGAGTTGTTCAAAGAAGACTTTGTCTGCCTTCTTATTCTCATCACATGGTCTGTGACAAACTTCCACCATGATGTCACCTTTAGTGGCCTATTGTCAGATTATGATTTGGTGCACTAAGTACTTAATACCTGACTGGAAGAAGTCTGTTAAGCCTCTTTTAAGTCCCCTGTCTGATGTCCCTGTGCATTTCTTCCAGTATCTCACACTCTAAATATTGGAGCAGGGACTTGCTTAAGAAATCCTCCATTTTGATCACCAGAACAAATTGTGAAAACTGAGCAGCTTTACTGAGCCAAAAGAGTTACGTGGGGGATGACTAGGGGAAGTTCTATATCTGGGACTGCTGAAGAGAGACAACTTATTCTGTTGTATACTAAAAGCAAGTTTCTGAAGTAATCCTGCCCAGGATGGTGTTTATGAACTTGAGATACAGCCTCACAAATTATCGTGCCATGACTGAGTACCAGAAGGTGGGTAACCAGGATGTATGGTATGTTCTAAGAGTAACAATTTGAGAGTAGAGGAAGGAATGGACCTTTCTTGCCTTTTTGTGAACCACATGATAACCACTTGTGTTCCCAACAGGCACGTAAGCATCAGAATTTAGGAACTGGTTTAAAATTCCTTTTAAAAAATGGATTAATACTTTTGGCAAAAACAAGGAAGAAAAAAACCCTGTTAAATAGCTGTCTTCGCCACACTTAATTACTCTCTAGATGCTTTTGGCACTCATGGAGACATTTTTCAGGGTTCACTTGCCTTTTTAATAGCTTCTTTCAAATACGAGTCAAGGACAGTGAATATGGGATTTTCCTACAGTCAATACTAAATCTTGAGTCAACACTGTTTGCTGTCTGTCTTGGACAGAATTGACTCCTAATTATTACTTGTGTTTATCTGCTACCTTCCCAATGATTTTCATAAGTGCTTCTTAAATACTGTGTGACTGGGTTCAGAATGAGTTTGTGACTCCTGTTTGATCTGCGTCCTCATGCACTTTTCTGACAGAAACGTGGCTCTTAAAGAGTGTTCATATTGAAGAAGACAAAAGCCGACAGTTGTCTTTTGGTTCGATCATAGAATCATAGAATGATTAGGGTTGGAAGGGACCTCAAAGATCATCTAGTTCCAACCCCCTTGCCATGGGCAGGGAAATCCTCCACTACACCAGGTTGCCCAAAGCCTCATCCAACCTGGCCT